TTACCCCAACAGTTGACCATACAACCCCAATTATGACTACTTGCTATGAGCCAACAAAAAAAGAACAGATATAAACTTAACATGTAAATGTTGCACTCCGGCAAAGAAAAGGCCAAGGCACATCATGGCAGTTGCAATAACAAAAGATAGACGGGTGTGATGGCACACTCCTGTGATCCCAGCTACTCTGGAGGCTGAGGTAGGAGGATGGCTTGAGCCCAGGAGTTTGAGGTTATAGTGAGCTATGATCTTGCCATTGCACTCAGCCTGGGCAATAGAGTAAATTCCCACTTCTAAATATATACATACATGCATACATACATACATACATACATACATACATACAAGATTTCCCAGTGTTTCAAATAGAGACAAACAGTAAGAAAGTAAAGATATCACACTGCACACAAAAGTACAGGCATTCCAAACTCCAAAGACTCTTGCTGTGTCTCAGTAATCACTACGATATTCGCCTTATAAATAGCAATTTTGTTTCAGTGACATGTCATCAACTATCCCATTAGAATGATTTTGTTAATGTGTATTATGTTGAGGTTTTTGTAGTTCATTTTATATGTGTAAACTTGTTTTGGCTTTACAGTTGTTTAAAAGTTATAAGTACAAGATACTTTGTGTTTACCAAGTATATGTTTATACCTTTTTAAGTACATTAAAATGAAATTAATGTAACATTAAGACTCCAGGAACATTAAAAATCACCTGAACTTAACACTGTTCAGGTGTGAGAAACACAGCTACGGTAGAATGAACTGGAGAGCCAAGAAATAGAGGAGGTCAGGTTAGGAGCTGGTCTTACTGGAAATACTATACAGGTTCAGAATAATTTTTCATGTTCTACTTTTGCTCTGATACAATAGATTTACAGACTTGGCTCCAGCCAAAACTGGTTCACGAGCATATTACATTTTCCTGGGGAAATCTTTGGTTTGGTTTGTCATTGAATAACTAAACTACCAGCATTTATAAAACAGCTACACAAGCTGAGCCCATTTAATGCTTCTGATATTCAGAATCTTTGGATTGAGGTATTCACTTTTACTCCTGGAAAAGCTGATATTGAATCAATAGTGTTTTATGATCCATTGCATCTGAGAACACAAGAAAAGTGACTTTTACTTTAGTCTCATCTTCCACTTTTCCTTCTAAGCATGCTCGGTACCTCTGTTATACCCTAATATTAATACCATCCCCACCTGACTGTTACATGTGTGCCCCAGGGCCTTTGTAAATTTCATGACCACTGCTATGCTGCATTCCCTCAGTTTCTGACATTGTAGGACATTTGTATCAACTCATCCATCCCTCCCTCAAAATCTAGTTTGGCTAATGAGAACACATGGACACAGGGAGGGGAACATCACACACGGGGACCTGTTGGGGGATAGGAGGTGAGGGGAAGGAGAGCATTAGGACAAACACCTAATGCATGGGAGGCTTAAAACCTAGATGATGGGTTGACAGGTACAGCAAACCACCATGGCACATGTATACCTATGTAATAAACCTGCAGGTTCTGCACATGTATCCCAGAACTCAAAGTAAAATAAAATAATAATAATAGCAATAATAATGATAAAACCTAGTTCAGCTTAGAAGCAAGGACACCCCAGTAGCAATTGCACACCTACCATTCAGAGATTTGGGCTACTAAACACCGTTTCCCAAAAAGGAATCACAGCTCCTATGAGAGACAGTGGGAATATCTTTTTGTGCCAGAAAGTAAGGAAAAAGTGCTAAAATAATGATGGGGATGTGTCGAAAGAACAAGGAGCCACTTTGAAAGCGTTCCCACTGGTCAAATCTAGGGTAATTTAAACATCAAAATGAATAATGACAGACATGGACTCCAACACATTAAATTAAAAAAAAGAATTCATGTTCATACGAATAGCTAAAAATAGCTTTAAATGAGGATTGAGAGGGGGTGAAGGTTGAGCACTATTTTTTTAAAACAGAAGAATGTCAATAAATGTAGAAGAGAAAAAATAGAAAAATCATTTTAACCATGAATAATAATTGATACAGGCAAGACTCATCAATAGTTGTTAAAACCATTGAGTAAAAGATAAGACAGACTGCCACGAGGTGCCTCCTGATGGCAGGCTGTGAGAAAGACCTAATACTGCCTGTGCCAAAAAGCTGTAATCTGAATCCACCATGAAGAAACAATCAGACAAATCTAAACTGTAGCACATTATGCAAACAACTAGCCTGAACTTTTCAAAAGTATCAATATCATAAAGAGAAAAAACAATACAAGGGAGACTTTTCTAGAATAAAGGAGACTAATGAAATGTGACAATTAAATGCAATGTGTGATACCTGCACGGGTCCTGGATGGGGAAAAAACCACAAAGAATGTTACTAATGGCAATTGGGGAAATCTGAATATGAACTATAGCTGAGGCAGTATTGTATCCATGCTAAATTTCTTGGGTGGAATCATTATATGGTGGTTAAATAGCTCAGGGGTCAGCCAACTATGGCTGTAGGTCAAATCTAGCCCCCACCATCTGTTTTTATACAGCCTGCAAGCTAAGAACGGTGTTACCTTTTTTGTATGACTAAAAAATGTGTTTTTATGTAATTTCATTTCTATAACTTTCAAATTTCATTTGAAATAATATGAAATTCAAATTTCAGTGTTCACATAGAGTTTTATTTGAAACATAGCAATACCCATTCATTCACGTATCATCTATGACTGCTTTTGCAGTGCAATGGCAGAGTGCAGTAGTTACGACAGAGGCTGCACAGTCCATAAAGCCTAAAGTATTTACCAGGTAGCCTTTAAAAAAAATGTTTGTTCACCCTGGTATAGGAGAACACCTTGCTCTTAGGAATTTGGCTGAAGTGTTTAGAGGTAAAGTGTCATGATGTCTCTGTAACTATATCTCAAACAGTTCAGAAAAAAAAAAAAAAAAGAACATGTGGCCGGGCGCGGTGGCTCATGCCTGTAATCCCAGCACTTTGGGCAGCTGAGGTGGGCAGATTGCCTGAGCTCAGGAGTTCGCGACCAGCCTGGGCAACATGGTGAAACATCATCTCTACTAAAATACAAAAAATTAACCAGGCTTGGTGGTGTGTACCTGTAGTCCCAGCTACTTGGGAGGCCGGGGCAGTAAAATTGCTTGAACCTGGGAGTTGGAGGTTGCAGTGAGCCGAGATTACACCACTGCACTCCAGCCTGGGTGACAGAGTGAGACTCCATCTCAAAGAAAAAAAGAAAGAAAAAAAAGTGTGTGTATGTGTGTGTGTGTGTGTGTGTGTGTAGAGACAGAGATAAAGCAATGGGTATAAAGTGTTAGCAATAGGTGAATCTAGAGGCAGGTATGAGGGTATTCATTACACTATTCTTGCAACTTTTCAACCGAGTTTGCAACTTTCATAATAAAGAGTAGAAATTAACAAGCAAGCATGAAAAGCACCTGCTCATGCATGCTCACACACTACACATCTACTCTGTCTCAAATTCCCCTTTTCTTTCTTCTTGGACAAACCTGTTACTCCTCACTTCTCTGAGCGTCCCCAAACTTGGTAACACCTGCCTGTCCCCACCACATGTCATGGCACTGCAACTGTCTGCTTATTTCATCTAGCCAAGCACTCAGGGTCTCTCAGATGCTATTCTGGAGGATGTGCCATGAGCTCTGGCACATCCAATTTCGAGTCTTAAAAGAAATCGTCACTTTACTATAAAAGCTGAAATGGGAAACACTAAAACACCATTTCACGTCTGCTTCTCCCCAGAATGGTAACAGCCTGGCAGGTGGGGAGGCTGCCTGGCATGAAGTGGACAATTCCATCACACAGTGTCCTCTTTATCAGCGCCCAGAAGGGCGGACCTCCTCAGGAGCTCCCTGGTCCTTTTCACGTTATGGACAGAATGTGCCAGCTACTCTCCCAGTGGCTGCCAGATTTGGAGCCTGTATAGCTAAAAGTACAGATAGAGGTCATTATAGTATACATTTTCAGCTTCATTCCTGGTTCCATTTAGGGTCTCCACCCTTCTTTTTCTTTCTTCTTTCTCTCTCCCAGTTTTAATATGCTATTGTGGTATATTTTAGGTATACTGCTAGGCTACCCTAAATCCCTTCTGGAAGAGGCAATGGTCTGAGTGAAAAACTTACATAGCAATCCTGTGCTGGCAGCCAGGTGCGGTGGCTCAAGCCTGTAATCCCAGCAATTTGGGAGGCTGAGGCAGGAGGATCACTAGAGGTCGGGAGTTCAAGACCAGCCTGGCCAACATGGAGAAACCCCGTCTCTACTCAAAATACAAAACTAGTCGTACGTGGTGGTGCATGCCTGTAATCACAGCTACTCAGGAGGCTGAGGCAGGAGAATTGCTTGAACCCGGGAGGCAGAGGTTGTGGTGAGCTGAGATCACACCACTGCATTCCAGCCTGGGCAACCAGAGTGAAACTCCATCTCAAACAAACAAACAAACAAACAAAATCCTATGTTGGCTTCCTCTGTCTTCTGCCTCTTTACCAAACCACATGGCTGCACAGTACCCCCAGATGCCTTGTGCCAGCAGCATGGTTCCTGGCCTGCAGTGTCTGAGCGTAGCCTGGGTGATCTTGGCAATGAATTACAGCATTTATAATTTCCAATGGGATGAAAACGCAGAGGAAGGGGCATGTCTTTCCTAGACAGGCAGAGGTGAGTGTCCAACTCCTGACAAGTCAGCCAGACCATGAAGGAGAGTTGTGGAGTGGAAATGGCCATTCGGTCCATCATGACCCAGGTCCAGGCCTTGTACCACTTTGCCCACAGTCAGACCAGCTTTCCTCCAGGTGAAGCAAAGACAAAGAGGGAACTTGTGATGGGCAGGAAGAATGAGTAGAATAGAGTCTACTAAGGCAAGGAGGCAAGAAGAGGCGTGCTAAGTAAGGGAGGCTAGAGGGCCAAGAGACGGAATGGGAGGGTGGGTTCTGGAGTCAGACTGCACAGGTTTGAACCCCAGCTCAGCGACTCACCAGCTGTTTAGCTTTGTGCAGAATGACTCATCCTCTCCAGGCCTCAGTTTTCTCAGCTGTGCAATGGATGGAATAATACCTATGTCACAGGAGCGTTGTTAGGATCAGATGAGATTATGCTACAAAGCACTGAGCACAGACCCAGACACACAGTAAGTGCTCAATAAACATTAACAGCTATGCTTGTCATGACCACCACCATCATTTGTACAGAGTACAGTGTATGTACTGAGGGAGTGTGGAAGGAAATGTGTTGTGCTGAATGGGGGCCAGAGCTTCTGCAGGCAGAAGATGATATACAGTATGGATGATGATATACTGTCCAAAGAAGATGATATACAGTATGGCTTTGGGACAGGACTTCACAAATGAGGGCAGTTTATTTAGGATGTAGGGTTTCCAGATCCTGGTCCAAAAATCAGCACCACTGTTCACCCCACCTTCCCCGTCCTCTCCCACCATTCAGCCCACCCATCACCTGAGTAGGCAGAGCCATTCTTCATGCCTGCTTTTCCCCAGTGGAGACCCAAACACCCATGCCCAACACACACATACACACACACACAACTTTTCTTGAGCCACTTTAAGCATCTGGTGGCTCTAGGCCTTCAATGTCTCTCGCCTCTTGGGTTCCTAAAGGTTAAAGCCTCCATATGGTCTGGCAGCCTCTAACCACTCCCTCCCTGTGCCCATCTGCTGGCTGCTGGCTGCAGTTAAGGACCTAGGAAGAAACCTCAGAGGGAATAACCTCCAGGCCACCAGTCCCACTGCCTGAACTGGGGCCATGCCTACTCTTGACTGGTAGAGCTAGTCTAGAACCAGGTTGCAAACTCTAGGGCCTTCTATTCCTCCTTTCCTCTCACCATAGACCTGTGCCAGGCAGTCAACCTGGGAAAGTTCGTCTGCTTTAAAGATTCTCAACTTTCCACAGCTGGGCTGTCCCAAGGTACAGACTCTAGCAGCAGCAGAAAGGGATCCTAACAGCCATTCCCTGGGCACGGTCCTAAATTGTTTCTCCTGCAATTTTCCAATAGGCTGTGAAGCCACAGGCTTCCTCTGTTGAACTTCTATCCATCCTTCAAGACAAGATCCATCTCCAATCTGCAGCACTGTGGTCACCAAGCAATACTCTGCCTCTGTATTACTTGGTTGGGAACAAGCTTCCTCCCCTCCTATCCACCATGGCCCCTGCCCTCATAACTGAACCACCAACTCCATGAGAACAGAGAGCAAACCTCATGCATTCCCATTATCCCTAGAGCTCCCTGCTCAGGACCTAGTGCTCCGGAGTTGCTCTGTTTATGTAAAGTTGGGTTGAATCTGAACACATAATAAAAACAGGCTCAGGGTAGCTATTAACTGTTCCACCCCATTAGCAATGTCTCCCAATAAGGGAAGTCCTCACATGGTGGCATGATGGAGGGACACTATCTTTGAAGGAACCCAAGGTCTACTGTGGACCAGCTATGGGAGTCCTGTGTTTCCTCATCAGAACAAGAGGGGCAGCAACCCCCACCCTATGGACTGTTTCAAGGGAGAGTATGAGATGCCAGAGGTGTCCAGTATGCACCTGGCATATAATAATTGCTCAGTGGGCAACCAGACTTTTAAAACAAGCCATGCACCCTTACTGGTTCCCTCTCCTCACCTCCCACTCACGCCTTAATCCACGGCAATCTGGCTTCCGCTCGTGAGACAGCTCCCGCTAAGGGGGCTAAGGAGACTTCTTACTGTCTCCTCCTACTGCTCCACGCCTTCTCAACTCCTCTCCCTCCAATGATTCCTTAAACTCATATTCCAAAGCAAATGCCTCTTCTCTCCTCCCCAAGCACCTTTTCTATAGGCAATGCCCTCCCTTCTCCGGGCTTCAGCTGCATGAATTTATATACTTAGTTTTCTCCGTCATCCCAGCGTCTCTCTACTGCAGAGCCACACACACCAGAGTGCTCTGGACAGCTCCCCTGAGCACCTCATGGGCACCGGGAACTCTCCTCATCCCAAGCAGAACTCACCGTCTCTGATCTCCTCAATTTCAGGCCACCTCACTCCACTTCCCTGCACATTTTAGCAGATGTCCCCGCACAAACACAAAAGCCTCCTATATGAGTTTCCTGTTGCTCCTGTAATAAATTGCCAATAAACTGCCAAAACCACAGTGGCTTAAAACAACATACATGTATTACCTTATAGTTCCAAAAGTCAGAAATCCTAAAATCGAGGTATTGGCAGGGCCACATTCTTTCGGGAAGCTCTGAGAATGAATGTGTTTCTTTGCCTTTTCTAGCTTCGAGAAGCTGCCTGTATCCCTTGACTCCTGGCTCCTTCCTCTATCTTGAAGGCCAGCAGAGCAGCATCCTCCAATCTCTTTCTCTCTGACTCTGAGCCTCCCACGTCCCTCTTATTAAGATGCCTGTGATTACATTGGGCCCACCCAGATAATCCAAGATCATCGCTCCCATCTCAAGATCCTTAACTTAATCACATCTGCAAAAAATCCCTTCTGCCATTAAGATAATACATGTATGAGTTCTAGGGATTAGGACAGGGACATTTTTGGGGGGCCATTATGTGGCCCACTATACCTAACTACCTCTATCTGCTCTAATCCTCTGTGCTAACCCTGTAAAGACAGGAAAGATGCTGATCCACTCCCTTTTTTTGTCCAGTGTCTCCATGTGAACCCTGTGAGATGATGTAAAAGGTTAGGGATCATGCCTTATCTCTACACTCAAGCACTTCAGCAGAACCCCTCCCGTTGGCTTTTTGAGAATGCTAGTCTAAGGAACAAACTTGACCACACACACCCCCACCTCACTCTTACCTTTCTCCTCACTTCCAATCTTACCTGTAACCAAACTTCTAGGAAATGACTACGCCTGGCCACCTCCATGCTAATCAGGTTCCACCCCCATCACTCTCCAGCAGGGTTTCTAAAGATAACTCTTCGTTATGAGGGACTATTCTGTCCATTGTAAAATGTTTACAGTAATCCTGGTCTCCAACTGCTAGATGCCAGCAGCTTACCCCTACGCTGAGCTGTGACAACCAAAAGGTCTCCAGACACTGCCCAATGTCCAGGGACAGGAGGCAGGGCTGCAAAATCGACTCAGGTTCAGAGCCACTGCTTTCTACAATAGCTCTTGCTAAAGTCGCCGATGGCTTCCCTGAGAGTAAATCCACGGGACACTTTTCAGCCTTTCTGGTTGGTTTCTCAGCAGCACTTGGCACTGTCAGCCATTGTGGCCTGGAGAACCTCTCTTCTCCCCTGACTTCCAGGTCACCCACTCTCCTGGTTTCCCTCCTACCTCTCTGGCTGCAAACCTTCTGTCTCCTTTGCAGGATCAAGCTCCCCTTCTAGACCACGAACTGCTAAAGTCCCTCAAAGCTTGGTCACAGGCCTTTCCACCTCTCACTCAGCACATTCTCCCCAGGTTCTGTGCTCCACACCCACTCCCCCACTGACCACCCATGCACAGGTGACTCACTAAGCAACATCTCCAAGCCTCCTCTCCAAGCTTAAGACCCATGTATCCAACTGCCTACTTGACATCACCACTTGGATATCTTGTTACTCCAAACTCAACAAGTCCCAAACCCAAATCATGATTTTTCTCTTAACCCAGTCCCCTTCCAGCCTCCTCCATTTCTCAGAGAAAGACACCATTAACGACCTGTTGGGAGACTGCAGATGTCCTTGATACCTCCTGCTCCCTTCCTTAAGCCAGTTAGTCTATGTCTAAGTCAGAGCTCTCCTCTCTGATACAGTTCACAAAGCAGTTCATTTGGCTCCATGTCTGTGCTGCAACCCTAGCGCAGTCTTCCACCATTGCCGACTACAGAACTCCCACACGCTCTACCTGGGGAAAGGGGTGTGGGTACCCATTCTTGACCAGCGCCCCTGAGCTCAATCAGTTCTCCAGGCTGCAGCCAAAATCATCTTTTCAAAACACAAATGTGACCAAGTCACTCCTGCTCCCCCTCTACATTCTTAAAAGGACAGAAGTCCTAATTTGGTCCACTGGGTCCTACATGATCATGTCTCCATCATCTCCTCCAGGCCCCTGTGTGTGCTGCACTCCAGGCACACTGACATTCATCCAGTAGCTCAGATGTGCCATGCTCTCCTGCCACAGGGCCTTTGCTCTTGCTGTTCAAAGCATCTCGAGGCACCTGTCCAATCTTCACCTGGTAGGCATTCACCTCCAATCACAGCTCAACTAGCAGTAAGCCTTCTCTGACCTCCACCCGTATTACTTCCCTGGTTGTTCACTTTCTCCCAGCCTCGCTGTTTCTCCATCACCCTCAGAGTTATAATTTGACATGGATTTGTTTTAGTATTGATTAATTCCATCTTCCCCACAGAGAACTCCATGAAGGCAGGATTTACCTGATTGTTTTGTCTGACCCACCACTGTATTTACAGGGCCAGCACTGTGTCTGGCACAAAGGAGATACTCAACAAGTGTTTTTGTAGTGAATGAGGATCTTCTTACCCTCTAGAATGTTTTTTCTCTATTATCCCACACTCCCCGATCTCTGTCCACTAGCTCAAGCTTGATTCCTTAAAGTTGCTTTGGTAATCCTTCCTCCTCATACCCTTGAAAACCCCTCTTGCTCATCTTTGCAACCCATCTATTGATAGTACCTTGTGTTGCAACTGACATCACACGTGTACCTGCTTGTTCAATGCCTGTCTTCCCACCAGACCATCTGCTCCCTGAGGACAGGAACCATGTCTGTCTTGTTGAAGGGTTTACCCCCGGCACCTAGCCCAGAGCCTGATATTACTGGTTTGGAAGTGGGAAGTCATGCTCTGCATTCCCAAAGGCCAGCTCCGAGTCACCCACTCTGGAAGATCCGTTGGTTCAATACCGCGCAATGGTTAACCAGACACACACTGCCCTGAGTTCTGCTTGGTGATTTCCTGATCTGCTGACTACTGCCATGTGGGTGCTCTCAGCATTGCCCTTGGACACCAAGTGTTGCAGCCACTGAGCCAGGGCCAGGGGACAGCAAGATCCAACATCGACAGGTCCAGAAGGGATGGTAGAAAAGCTCTGGGGCCAAGCTGGGCCAGTATGGCTCCCCCTGGTGGTTTCCTTCCATGTTCCTTGGCAACCTCTCCCATGAGTAGCCCAGGGCACACTCACCAGCCAGGAGAAGAAGCCAGCTGATTTGTCCTGGGTGGAGATCTGCCCCTCGTAGGGGCCAAAGATGTGGCCCTTGGGGATGACCTCGTTGATACATCGCACATCACTCTCTCCGCTAGTGTCCTTGACCACCTCCATGCCCTGTGGGATGGTGAGCGCTGCCCGGTCTGGGATGCCCACGGGCACCGGTGTGTCAGACACAAACACTGGGGGGCCATGGTTTGGGCATTCATCCACGAAGTACTCCTGGCAGGACTCACAGACTGGAGGGATGGCAAGAGAAGGGAGGGCCTCAGTTGTTGCAGGAAGGTAAGATCCCCATGGGGAAGGCAGAGGGGCTGACAGGAGGCCCACCCGTGGACAGATAGCTGCAGGCCCCAGGGTCATCAGTAGCAATAACCCATACTCTCCCTGGGGACTCTAAGAACAGGCCTGCCTATGTCAAGGAGGCCAGCAGCTCCCTTTGTCTCAAGTTTTAAAAAACTGGAAGAAAGAGCATGGCTTTGGAGTCCAAGTCCAACCGTATTCCTTTGGGTTGGAGGACCTCAGGCGGGATACTTAACCCTCACCAAGATTCAGTGTGCTATCTGGAAAATGGGGCCAACAATAGCCACTTGGATGGCTAACGATGATGACTAACCAAGGCCTGGACCTGGGCCTGGTATATGGCAGGTGAGGACCTATCATAGTAGCATTGCTGCAAATTCTCTAGCCAGGAATGGGGCAATGGGGGTGAAGGGAGGAGCAGCCCAGAGCCCCAAGCTCCACTTACACCAGAAGTCCACTTGCTGGAAGCTTTTAGGCATGATGAGGTCACGCTTCCCCTTCAGTTTCTTGGGCTCAACTTCCATGGCCGAGGAGTCCGGTCTCCTAGAGCTGGCCAGGGCAGAGGCCCGAAAAGAAAGTAAAGAAGTCATCAGAGAGTGAGAGCCCAGTGAGGACAAAAGTTGGGGACCTGGCCAGGAGACCGAGAAGATGTGGGGTGGGCAGAGGAGTCCCAGCTGGTCTGCTGTTCAGTGCAGGAGTGGTGGAAAAACTGGAGGATTGAGATGCGAGCACAGACCTCCCTAGGCCACTGCTTGAATTTTTCTAGAGCCTGCACCCAGGAGCTGCCGGCAGCAGGGTGAGGGAAGGTGGGCAAGGAGTGAGAACGTTTCCCAGGGTTCCCAACCAACCCAGCCCAGGCACCTTCCACTCCCACTTCTCCCTCTCCAGTTCCCACACAAGGGCCTCACCAGGGCTGGCCATACTCCTGGTCTCGGAGTGGTGAGCAGACCTCCGTCTTCACCACCGTCACCATATCCCCCACGGCTGCATTGGTCTGGGCCAAGCACTCCTTCATGTTCTCGGTCATTCTGTCCTGGGACGCAGGAGGTGGGACCAGCACAGGAAGAGGATAAAAGAAACAGGGGAAGAAGGGTGAGTGGCGGAGAGGGCAAGTGGGGGTCTTGCGGAGTCTGGTTACCCTCCCTGCCATCCCCAGAGGAAGCGCTTGAGAACACAGACAACAAAAACAGCTGTAGCCCCGCCAAGAGGAAATGCCATTTCTATCCCGGGCTGGTCCTGGGGACGACTGGAGCCACCAGCCCCATGGGGTCATGGGCCTAGGGCAGCCCAGGCCAGGAGGCCGCACTGGGAAGCACAGCCTGGACCCCCAGACCAAAGGGCAAAGGGCAGGAGGATCCCATAGGAGCCTGGGCGCAAAACTGCAAAGGGGAGAAGGGAGGAACAACTCAAGCCCAACCGGGGCCAAGGGGTAGTGGGCAGACTGAATGGGCCCTCAGAGCCTGGCAGGGCAGCCCCTCACCCTGGGACTGTCGGGAGCGCAGCCAGGCCCCTTTGTCAGCTCAGAGCAGGTACAGGCAGGGCCTGGGGGCGCTGGCGAGGGCCAGCCAGGGCGCCAGCCCCACCCCACTCTCTCTAGGGGACACTCCCTAGCCCGCCGCTTACCGCCCTCCACCACTGCGCCGGGTTTCAGCCCCTCCCTCGGCACCCCGGGGTCCTCATGCCAAGCCCGGGGACACTCTTCGGGGCCAGGGTGGCACGCAGCTGGGGCTGGGACCGCGCTGGGCCCCGGGACTGGGCGAACGGCGTGTGTGACTCACTACCCGGGGCCCCGCTGGCCACACCCCTGCTCTTCGGCTAATCAGCCCCCTGCTCCCCACCGGGGCCCCAAAGCCGGCGGCGGCGACTGGGAGGGGTGTGGGGAAATGTGACGGCCTGCCCCCTCCTCCGAGCTGGCGGGGCCAGGGGCGCGCGGTGGGGAAGGGGAGGGCTGCCCGGGCCGGGCCGCGCCGCCCCCTGCCCCGTGGCCACCCCGTCTCGGGCCGGTGTGCGCTGCGGCCCGGGCAGGCGCGGGCTGGCTCTCCCACTCTCGCCAGCCTTCCCGGCGGGGAGCTCCCTGCCCGGCCGGCCCGGCCCTGCCCAGCGCCCGCCCCCCGCCCGCCGGGCCCGGCATTCCTTGCGGGGGCATGTGGCTTCTTGCCGGCCCCGGGGGCACGCAGTTGGCTGGCTGCCGGGAGGGGGGCGTGCGGGGAGCGGGAGGAAGCGGGCGCCCGGGCGGGTCGGCGGGAGGGGGCGCCGCTGGGGGCCGCTCCCGGCGGGGCGGTGGACCCATTCCAGGGCCTCCCACGGGGCCCGGCATGCACTCGGCCCAGGGGGCCTTGGCGTGGCGGCGACGACGGGGCCTGCGCTGCCACCGGTGCAGACACCGGACACCCACTCGCTCAGCCGCAGCCTGCCGCACCTGCACCGTCCGGGGCAGGACCGGGGTGCCTGCCGCTCTCTTGCCTTCTGGCTGCGTTATGCCAGGGGCTCCCCCGCTGGGTACTCGGCTGCCCTCACAGCCTGTGGGATGGCCCCTTGCGACCTCTGAGGGCGCAGGAATTGGGACCTGGAAGATGTCAAGCGACTTGCCCAAGGTCATGCAGACCACGCCCGATGGCTGCTCAGGAAATTGGAAACTGGCTGAACCCCCAGATTCAAGTGTTTCAGGTTGGCCTGGCCATGCAGTATCCCTGTCCAGTCCTCTTACCGAACAATCGCTGGAATCACCCTTAAGTGGGTTCAGGCCCCAGTTCACAAGTTCAGCAGCCAGGTGGGAGCAAGGCCCTGTGGATTTGTGAAGGATCCCTGAACACCTGCTGCCCTGAGGCGCTCTCAGTGGGATGGGCAGTACCCCCTACCATACATCCTGGGGTGCAGCCTCAGCGGTTAGGTGCCTGGGCACTGGACAGGCACTGCCTGAGTTCAAATCGCACTGACGGGCGGTGTCATCCCGGGCAGGTGTTATGGTCCCCACCCCCCTTCATATGTTGAAGCCCTCAGCCCCAGGGTATCTGTATTTGCAGATAGCGCTGTGCGGAAGTGATCAAGATTAATTGAGGTCATAAGGGTTAGGTGCCCTTATAAGGAGAGGAAGAGACACCAGGGTCCTCTCTACCATGAGGACACACCCAGAAGGCAGCCATCCACAAGGCAGAGTGCCACAACCAGGAACGAATAGGCTGGCATTCTGATCTTGGACTTCTCAGGCTCTAAAGCTGTGAGAAATAAATGGCTGTTGTTTAAGCGCCTCCGTCTACGGTATTTTGTCATGGCAGCCTGAGATGACTAATACAGCAGGTTATCTAACTTCTCTGTGTTCTCATTTCTTCCTCTAGAAAATGTGGCTAATAATAGATTCTATCACAGACATAGCTGTATTCCGTGGACACAGACAAGTGTGGAGGGGCCACGCACAGTCTCTGTACATCCCACTAAAGAATGCTGATCAGGAAGATGAGTGCTAGTGACATCATTAAGGGGTGGCTTTGAATTCTCTCCATTGGCTTCGATTTATTTTTTTTAAGTCAGTGATTTGGAAACTCTGAGGCTTTATTGGAATGGACTGCTGAGGACTGCTTTTCATGGAGCTCCCTTGCTCTGGCCCCTCTGCCCTCCACAAGCCCCACCTGTATGCCATTCTCCATCCTGCCACGGGGCCTGTGAACTTGCTGCGTCCTCGCCTGCAGAACACCTGGGGAACTCCTGCCCCCCTCCAACTGCCACCAAAAACACCCTCTCCTAGCCCCATGTCACACTTCATGGCAGTGTCACATGTGTAACCATCTTTTGTTAGCAGGATTACTTGATTAATATCTGTTTCCCTTAAGAGACTGTAAGCTCCCCGAGGGCAGGGTGCAGGCCACCATTGAACTGCCAGCACCTGTAACAGTGCCTGGCACCAGGGCCAAGACTAGGGAAAGACAAGCCAGGCACTAGGAGGCTTTCACTTTCAGGGTCACACGCTTGCAGAACTGGCACCTGAGAGTGAAGACCTCTTTCAATTTTGCACACTGAAAACCTTGCTTGGCTGACTCTCTGCCTTGCCCAGCACACAGCATATCCTCAGTAAATATTCACCAAATGTCCCCCTTCATATCTCACTGGCCCCTCTGATATGTCCCACTCATCCCATTGGGAATCTCAATTCTGAAAGAGACCTCAGCAGGAAAAACAGCGTGGGGGTTTGATTCCCTATGGAGCTCTCTTCCAGTGATCTCCGCCAGGCAGAGCGGGTAGTGAGAGATGCTGACAGGGTGGGCACTGAAGGGTGAAGAGGTGCACTGTAGGGTAGGATGGAATTAGACTCACGAGACTCAGAGCGTGATTCTGACGATCAGTTGAGGAGGATAAGCTGTGTGGCCATGGCACGTCACTTACACTCTCTAGGGCCTTAGTGTCTTCTTTTGCAAAATGGAAATACTGATACTTGCCAGGTGGAGGTGGTCTCCATTAGGAATAAATGAGGAGGGCACAGAGGGATGTGGGAAGAGTTTGGAGGGAGAATAGGCAATAGTAAGAGAATAAAGGACGGAGGGTAAGAGAGGGAGAGAAGAGAGGAGAGGAGGGAGAAAAGAGAAGATGGGGAGGGTAAGGGAGATTGAAAGAGAAGGACTGAGGCATCCAAACATTTCCCTGTCTTAAATCATTCCCAGCAAATCACCCCCT